TAATAAACTATTTATGTACAGTAAAACTTAAAACCATATTTTATTTAATCCTCCCCCTTTTATAATAGAATTAATTATGTGTTAAAGATATCACTTGGAAGTGATAATAAACACTTTTCTAAGTATTATAATACTGAGAAAATCCTGAGTATGCATTAATGGGTATAGCGAAAAAAAATATACACGAGTGAAGCAAGCCGATCATGAGAGCAATTTTAGCACAATCATAGAGTTGGCATACTTTCATAATGAAATATTTCCATTATTAACGTTTTTTTTCAGTATAGTGGATCAAAAGTACAATTTTTAACAACTATACTACACTTATACAATTTCTTAACTTAATACAATTTTTTTTAACAGTGAAATTATTTATAAAATGGGACTTATGAACAAATAAATTATTACATATAAGTACTAAAATGTATAAAAGGTACTATCCTAGAGGTGATACTTTGATTGTTGGGTTGGGTTTATAATGTAATGTTTAGTGCGTAGAATACATGTTAAATAATCGAAGAGTTTTAAAATAATCAAGTAAATCACTGTCAATATTATCTATATTTGTCCTAACTATGCCGCTCCTCACTATGCTGGTTTTTTAGTACAGTTTTTGTAAGTTTCAAAAATAAATAATTTACATTCTGTATTTTTTGAGGCTAAAGACAATGGGACAATTCGATTAGGATTATGACAATTATTTCAAAATTTAGATGGTTTTTTTTTTGACTACCTAACTGAGTGAAAAATTGTAATTTGTAAAATATTTGTAACTTTTTCTTTACTATTATTTGAATAATTATTTAAACAATGCTTGGGTGTTTAGTTAACTGAGTACCCAAGTATCATACGCGAAATCTAATTACACCATTGTCTTAGCCCAAAGTCTAAAAAAACACATAACGTTGAATAATGTGTTAAGGCTGTAAAATTTCTTTTTCAAACTCACAAAAAATAACGAAAATAAGTTTTTAAAAATAAAATTATAGTTTTTTTGGATTTTTTATTTTTAAGTATATCTTATTGTATTATTGTGCTTTTCCTGTTTTTTTTGACGTGTAAAAAGTACTAAAATATATTTTTAAATTCTTCATAAATATATCTTTCTATTGGTAGTAATTTCACAATTATGAAATCAACCCAAAAATAGTTTTAATGGAAAGATCAGTTATTTTTTTCTGTATATTACATATCAAATTGAAATTTAAAGTGTAGTATAGTTATGTAGTTTATTTATTTTGTTTATGATTTTTAAATATTCACCCGTGGTGAAAAAATATTTATATTACAAAAATTTAGTCATAATTTAAATTAGGCGTGGTAGTAAAAATCATTCTTACATATTTTCCCTCGCAAAAAATCATATAAAAAAAAAAAAAAAATTTGAAGGCTGTTAACAATTTTCCCATCCTCTTAAAAAATATTGTTTTACAACATTATATAGTGTTCAGGAAGTAAGAAATCAGGTGATACGATCACATATAAGTGATATTAAGTAGCGACGTAACACAAATTTCTTTTGTTCTGATTGTTTGCAATAATTTATTCGTTTCCTTACTTTTTGAACACTATATAATTTTTATTTGTACTGGTTCCCTAAACAAAAATGAGATTGCGTCAGGTCGCTAGCCGATGTAAAAATCCTGACAAATCAATAAAGTAGAGCAAAACCCAAATAATTGCTATAAAGATAAGGAGATATTAATATATATTATTTTCAACATTTTTGGACTTAGTCCTCAAAGCCCATCCCTAACTCTGTTACTGTTTCGTGAAAATATCATAAGCGCTATGAAAAGGTATATATCAAAATGACCAGTCCAATAAAGTCTAATCTGCCTATGTAAACGGTTAAACTTGACAGAAAAGACCCAAATTTTGCATACATTTTTTTTAATATCATTAAATTATACTCAGAAAAATTAAGAAAAAAAGTTTTCAGTTTTTTATAATGATTTAATTGGTTAATTAATGCTTAATTACTAATTAGTAATTATCTCAAAAACTAGAAATGGTGGAAAATATCTAAAGTCAGATTTGGAATCAGCGACCAAATTTCATATAGAATTCACAAAATATTATAGACAAAAAAATGGTTGTTACTCTGTGTAATATGTTAGACACCGTGTTTTATGCATTTAATTGTTCATGTGCATATAGATAACTTCAAACTGTGTATGATGAATAATAATATACCAACAGCTATTAATTGATGACTCGTTGCATGTAAGTTTAGTAAATGAGGTTGGATTCCTATAAACCACTATAAACGTTATGACTAATTAGAATTTTAGTTTGTAGCAGGTATAAGAACTCGATACTCTAAGTAAGTTCAAATACTGAATCTTTTATGTGTAAAAATAGATTATTGGGCATTGGATATAATGGCTAAACATAATTAATTAGCTAATTAATTAGTATACACATTTATGAATTTTAATCTTAAATCACACAACATTTTTATTTACATATTTACTAATAAATATTAATAGTAATCAAGGATTTTATTTATTATTTGTTAAATTTTTTAACTAAAAGGTAAAATTCGTGCCAGAATTTGACCTTGATTAAACTAAATTATAAAACTACCACAGAACTTATAAATGGTTTTAATTATAACTCATTGAACATCTACGCTTACGACTGTAAGTAAATTTTATTAAAATGATCCGTATATTACAATACTAAGCAGCTGGGCTGTAACAACAAACTAGTCTCTGACTATAGTCTTACAGTGTTTGGAAATATCAACAACAGTTTGTTGGAAATATACATCTCGTTAAGCTTTTGTAAGTAATCATTAGATTCGCAAATATCCCTTGATTATAGTTAAATATAAAAAAAAAACTTTTATAGAGATCTTAAATTATAACTATTTTACAATAAATTTGAAATATATAATTTTTTTTTTTAAATATTTATTTTTAGTTCATTAAAATTTCATTAGAGAACCATTATACTTTGTTCGCTTAATATGCATTATACTTGATTTATCTTTGTTAAATCTTTTATATCTCTTAAATATTATAAGAAAAAAATATTGTTTTTAGAAAATAATTTTTTACAAATCAATAATATTATCACAGTATTACATTTTGTAAACAATTTATTTATGATGTAATAGGTAGTCATACTTACTTTTAAGATTTTATTGTTAAATACCACATAGTAATTTATTGCATATTTTACGGTTATAAACCCATTTCATACATAGATAAAAATTAGTTCTTTACGTTGATTTCTTTTAGTATATTACTAATACTTGCTGATTGAAAAACATGTGCGTTTGTACTTATTCAATTTTTTTATTGTTACAAAGTCTAGTGTAAGAAGTATTTAAAGTTAAATTTTTAAAAACTTTTGAACATAAGCACATGTTCAATAGACAATAAAAATAAATGTTTTCATAAATTCAGGTATTTGTTGTATTGTTAATTTTTATAGTAAATACTTGAGCATTTTTAATCAACTTTTAACATTTTTTTACATTTTTATTAAACATTATGAAGGATTTTCTCAATTGCAAAAGATCGTTTATCAGAAAATGTATAATTTTTTCTATTAAAAATAACGATCTACTAGTGGCTAATACTATTTAAATATATTAATTAAAATTAAAAATTAAAAATATAAAACCCTTAATTATAAAGGCTACAAAAATATTTTAAGTAAAAACCCATGAATGCGTATTTTGACATCAAAAATATAATTTTCAGCGCTAATCAATTAATTATTAATATATTATGGAATAGTATATTATTAGTTATAGGGGGAGCAAACACTAGTCAATGACCCAGCTGTACCNAATATAATTTTCAGCGCTAATCAATTAATTATTAATATATTATGGAATAGTATATTATTAGTTATAGGGGGAGCAAACACTAGTCAATGACCCAGCTGTACCGATTTTTTTTTAATATTTTAATTTAATAAAGCAACTTAAAATGTGTAGTTAGATTTTTTTTTATAAATTTCCTTTGCCTTTAACATTTTTTTGATCAAATACAAAATATATAATTTTTAGAAGGAAAAAACTGATAAATGATTATTGGGAGACTTTATTTCCGTGATACTCTTAAAAGTATAGTTACGCATTTTATTGATTTTCCAATCGCGGCTTGAGATAAATGCAAACATATAATATTTCTACTATAAATTAAGATATTAATAGAAGTGCTGATATCTAGTCTAGCTAAGGTAATAATTATTGTAATCTTCGTACTAAATTAAAAGAATTTACTAAAATTCGATGTATATTCTATTTGTTCTTAAATTTTGTTAACATAGGTCTCGTCAGGAATTTGAACAGTACCAGAACGGCTCGTGAATGCCTGTACGTTTAATTGTTAATAAAAATAGACTTACACGTTCATTAGGAGTTTTAAAATTTCCTGATTATGGCATTAAATGAAAACTGCCCTAAAGGTAAATTATTTTATAAATTAGGTTAAAATAATTGTTATGATATACATGTATAAAATTTACAGGGGCAGTTTTCAAACAAAATGGCTCAAGTTATAATTTTAAGTTTAAGGTGAACTCAACACTTAAGGATAAAGCATTACTAAACGCTGACGAAGAAGATGAAATGGTGAGTATTTTGACATTGCATAATATTATGGTGCCTAATTAGTTTTTTTTAATTAGAAAATATTTGGCTATAAACGATGTATTCCATTGACGATTTTAATATGGATTTTTACCATTCTCTCTTTGGGTTTTTTACGTTTGTTATTTCATTGGTGGCCACACTGGGTATTATATGTGATGTTCAAAAGATGTCCTCTTGATGAAGCTGAACGTGTTCTTGTAGTTGTATGCTATTTAATCAAATGAAGTTATTGAGGTTTATATTTTAATAATCCTTATTTTTTAGGATAGTTACGAAGGAACACACAGGTCATATTTTGTAAAAAAAGTAATACACTTATCGATTGAAAATATTAAGTTAGTAATATAATAAACTTCTACAGACTTTTGGTTATTACTTTAGAACTTACTATTGTAAATTTTTAGCTATTATGATAATAAAGTGTTCTCAAAAGGTTGTAATGATTCAATAAATGCTGAAAAAATTCAATTAAAATCAGAAATAAAAACTATAAGAATTTATTTGAATGATGGTTCCTATCAGGGTATAATTAATTTTAATAATAATAATTATTTTTATTAAAAACGAATTAACTATAATAAATCAGATGTCAGTCATATAAGGGTAATAAATATCAAAAAAATTTCTTATGTATGGTGCCAGTCCCAAGGAATGTTTCAAAAACTTGTTGGGCTAGATCGTGGTTCAACGACTGCACATTTACACAATCTTAAGGGATATTCTGCTGATGAACAGTTTGTTAGGTAATGTATTTTAGGTACCATATTAGTATATAATTAATTAAAATTAGCTGTTTAACAAAAAATTATTTTTTTTATAGACGATTCATTTATGGTTTAAACACAATTGATATACCAATGCAAAGTATTATTACATTGATTGGATTAGAGATACTCAATCCATTGTACATTTTTCAAGCATTTTCTTTTGTTGTTTGGTTATCAGAAGGCTATGTGTATTATTTGGGAGCTATTGTAATTATGTCCTTGTTCGGAATTACTTCATCAGTTATTCAAACGCGAGAAGTAAGATTTTTATCATCATTTAGTATTAAAAAATGCATGTACGTATTAATTTTATACAATTATATTTTTTAATTAAATAATATAATTTTAAAACTCTGAATAAATTCAGTGGTTATATTTTAGATGCTCTAATTGCTTCTAGCTATGAGTGGATGATTTTACAAAAGTTTTAGTATTTATGTTTTTAGTACGAATCGTTTATTGTTAGAAGTACGATAAATTTCTGTTGTAAAAATAATTTTGAATATAAAGTCAGTTCCATGTCACTTGAGGTCAAATCACTTTTTGAAATTCAATTTTCCTTGACCTCTATTTACTTGAACCTTCATTCTAATTTTTCAAAATATGGCCTGCCATTTCCACAATTGACATGATGCTGAATTTAAAAGTGCTTTTAAAATTCTTAATCTTATCTATAGCTATGTCGTATTATTGCAATAAAAACGAAGAGTTAATAGTTGATTTTAACAAATATTAGCGATTATAATTGTATGCTCACATGTGTATTTTCGTTTTTAGTAAGAATTAAATTTGTATATTAACTTATTACTCACAGAATGGCTCTATTTAATATATATAATCATAATCAAGTTGTCTATACTTAACTGCTGAAAATACTTCGGTATATAGAAGTCTTAAATATGTCATAATCAGCAAAATAATAAAAAGTTAAAATTTTCGTTCAAAACGCGACCTGAATCTTGCACCTCGATTGAATAAGCAAATAAATATTGTTTTTTATTATTGTTTATTTATGGACTAATATGTTGTAATATTTTAGAACCAAAAAACTTTACGAAAAACAGTTCATTTTTCGGATAAAATAGTTGTATGTAGAAGAAAAGAAGATGAAAAGTTGGAAGCTTTGTATGAAGAAATTTCCACAACTAATTTGGTACCTGGTGATATTATTGTTATACCAAGGTATGGCTTTGAAGTTCCATGTGATGCTGCATTATTGTGTGGATCTTGTGTCGTAAACGAAAGCATGCTAACCGGTAAAAATCTACCAAATGTTTTTAAAGTATTCTTATTTAATTCAAATATTTCCATTTTGTAGGAGAAAGTGTACCTATAGTTAAAACAGCATTACCTAATAGGAATCTCTTGTATAATGAAAAAGAAGACATGAACCATACTCTTTTTTCTGGAACTAAAGTGCTTCAAGCAAGATATCATTCCGATAAAAAAATTCTAGCTGTTGTTTTAAGAACTGGATTTTTAACTGCTAAAGGTTCATTAGTTCGATCAATTTTATACCCACCGCCGACAGATTTTAGATTCGATAAAGATTCTTATAGATTTATTTGGATTTTGGCAATTATAGCTATTTCTGGGTCAATATACACCGCAATTACGAAAGTATACATGATCAATACAGTTATATTGACAATTGAAATAAACTCTAAAAAAAATTGTTTTTTAGGCTTCTAGGGGTCTAACTATAGTTGATATAATTGTAAAGTCGTTAGATTTGCTTACAATTGTTATCCCTCCAGCACTTCCAGCAGCCATGACAGTTGGGAAAATGTATGCTTTAAGGAGACTCCAAAAATACCAAATTTCCTGCATTAACTCAAGAGTTATAAATGTATCAGGTTCTATAGACTGCATATGTTTTGATAAAGTATGATTATAATTAAAAATGTAATAAAACTAATATAATTGGTGAAAAGTTTCTCTAATCACCAAACATGTTTTTCTTAAGATTCATCAAGAAAATAAATAAATTAAAATTCTTATGTTTCGTTCAGACTGGTACACTAACAGAAGATGGATTAGATATGTGGGGAATCGTACCCATAGAGTCAAGTGAAGAGCTTGGATTACCATTAAGAAATGTTTCTACATTGTCTAATGATCATCCGCTAAAAATAGGCATGGCTACTTGTCATTCGTTGACTCTTTTGAATTCAATTGTTTTAGGAGATCCGCTTGATATAAAAGTAGGTAATTATAATTTCATTAATAAATATTTTTTTTTCCATTTATATCATGATACAACTAATAATGGATAATCTACAGATGTTTGAGTCTACTGAATGGAGTATAGAAGAGATGGATGTTTTTGATACTTCGAAATTTGACGTTATAATATCAACAGTTGTACGTCCACCATCCCTACTAGAAGAAGAAAATACCACAGAAATAGGTCTTATACATCAGTTTCATTTTTCATCGTCTTTGCAAAGAATGAGTATGATAACTAAAGTATTTAGGGATCCACGTTACGTTGTTTATTCTAAAGGATCACCAGAAATGATACAGTCATTATGCATTCCAAATACAGGTAGCTTGTTGAACTAATTAAAAGTAAATAGTGTTAGATATTGGATTTTTTAGTGCCGGTTCACACTAATAATGTATTAAGAGGGTATACAGAAGAAGGTTATCGAGTGATTGCCATTGCATACAAAGTATTGGAAGAAAGTAATTTTGTTGAGATACTAAAATTGAGACGGGAGGAAGTTGAATGCGATTTGATTTTTGCCGGTCTTGTAATTTTAGAAAATCGGCTAAAAAATCAGACTACTCCAGTAATTGAAGAACTTCAAGGAGCTGACATAAAAATTGTTATGTTGACTGGTTAGTATAGTTAAAATTTGTTTTAATATTTACCGAAAAATATTTCTATATTTCAATATTTTTTTGTTCTAGTTTATTTTAAATTTATTGTAGTTTGATTCGTATCAACAGACTAACAGGGACACTAGGGTGGCCCTCAAAAATCGAATGTCTTTTTTTTTTTTACGCTACCCCTTAATTTTTTTTTAATAGTCAAAAAAATGAGCTGTGCAAAATTTGGGACTGATCCATAAAGGTTAACCCGTGCCCCCGGGCCTATTAAGTTGAGTCAAATTTAATAGAAATAGCTGATCTATGTCTCATAACTTTTTTTCTCTTAACTTAGAATTATAAAAGTAAAACTCAAGTAAAGGAAAACCTAACAAAATTTATTGTATTATTACATTGTGTCGTATTACTGTATCAATTTTGGTTTACTGAATTGCTTTAAGATAGTTCTAATTGTATTATCATTAAAGATAAATATATTTGTGTTATTTTCATTCGACTGACATAAATTGTGCGGTATAAATGCAGCAGACAGTTTTTGGACACAGTTTTTTTAATCATATTTTACTTGTTTATTGTTACATATTAAATGTAATTAAAATTATTGTATTATTAAATTTTTCGATTAAAGAAAATAATTTATTTTTTAGTTATCAGTTATGCTTTTTGATTAATATTTTTTTACCAATAAATTATATCTAATTGAGATCTCCCTGTAAGTGTATAATCTGAATGTTAATCATATCTTAGAAAAAAAATCTGATTTTATTATAACATAATTTTTTTTATAAAATATTTTACTTGTTATTAACAATTTTTAATTTATTTTGTGTAAAATAATAATAACTTTAAAACAAAATATTTTACACAATAATTAAAGTAGAAAATTAAATTACATTAAATTACTAAATATTTCTTGTTAATGTACTTTTTTTACAATTAAGAAATTTTTTCCGATAATCACTTACTATTTGTAAAACGTATTGTTTCTGCTCTTCATTTGTAGTTAATATATTGTTATAGTCTTCGATTAATTTAATCCCACGCTCGGCTGTATCATTAACGACTCGTAATTTGCTTATTGTATTTAAAGCATTTATGTAACTATTGTACGCACTCTAAAATGATGGATCAATTTTCAAAAAATCAATGTTCAGATTAAATAGTTTAAAAAAAATCTAACGTTTTATTTGATACAAAATATTCAATATCTTTTTTTACAAAATCGGCTATATCGGATTCGTTTAATTTCAGACGTTTCGATGACTGACTTGACGTTGAATTAAGTTGAGCGACCATTTTTAGCGACCAATAGAACGACAAACGTTTTATTTTTTCAACACAATTTCTTTCCAACATAGTTGAGATCCGCGCCTTATCCCAAAAAATCATAACTTCACGTAAAACAAACAACGCACTTTGTCGAACACTTAATTTTACAACTCTTAAATTAAAAAGCAATGTTTTCAACACTTGTAAATTAGATGATAATTTACTACCAGTTATTTCGTAGGAATAATTACCAATAAAATAAATATTAGTTCGTAATACTTTAAAAGACATCTTTAAGAGCTATAATAGTGTACCATTGTGACTAAAACTTATCATTTAATATGTAACAATAAACAGGTAAAATATGATTAAACCCCGAGTCGAAATTTAACGCATCAGTAGCACATCTAGATTGTCAATTCTATTGTTTTCTTTCAAGTAGGACAATTTTAGCCCATCAGTAGCATTTCAGAGGTCATCACTAACAGCTTAGTGTCCCAAAATGGATAAAATACCAAAAATTAAGCACATCAATAACGCATCAAATTTGTAATTTTCAACTTTACTGTAAAATAACGTTTCAAAAACTTATCAAAATCATAAAAATTTTAAAATCGAGTTAGCATTTCATTAACACATCAAAGTTTTCAATACTTATAAAATAACTTTTCTAAAATCCTAATAAAAATAATATTTATTTATTTAATAAAAGTTTACATTTACTTTATCAAGTTTTTACAGTATGTTTATGAATTTCGATTATAATTAGGATATGTATGAGGTATGTATGCATATATTGAGGAATTTATTAAACAAATAAATAATTATTCTTCTTTATCTTAAATATTTATATTTATTCTAATTCCGTGCTGTTTATGGGACAACTAATGTACTTTTTATTATTTACATTCATATAAATACATATATCTAAAAGGTTTTCAATTGAAACAATTGAATAGTTCTTTGTGTACGTGCAGTTTAAATTCAAATTAAATTGAATAAAAAGGAAAATTTCTCATATAACATGTATTATTGATATTATTATTATTATTATTATTATTTGTGATGTTTTTGAAACGCTAGTGAAATGCTAATTTTCAAGAATAGCGCATCAACAGCATTTCAAAGTCCTCAAGTTTAGGCTATCAATAACGCATCTAACCTGGGCAATCCCGAATAACTGCAATTTGGAAGTGTTATTGATGTGCTAAATATCATTGAGCGAGGTACTTTTAAGACTATCACTAGCGCATCAAACGTCTCAATTTTTGAAAACTTTGAGATGCTATTGATGTGTTAAATTTTGACTCGGGACGTGTCCAAAAACTGTCTGCTGCATTTATACCGCACAATTTATGTCAGTCGAATGAAAATAACACAAATATATTTATCTATAATGATAATACAATTAGAACTATCTTAAAGCAATTCAGTAAACCAAAATTGATACAGTAATACGGACACAATGTAATCATACAATAAATTTTGTTAGGTTTGTAATTAATCATTTATTAACTGTCCATAAAATAATAAATCTAATATAATTATCGTATTTGGCATAAAAAATTAAACTTTTAGAACCTTTTTTTAAACGAATATGCGTTTTCCAAAGAATAAAATGAAATTAAATAAGTAAAAATCAACAAAATCCGTTATAATATATTTTTAAGACTTTTACATGTTTTTTACTGTATGTAGTGTTTTTGTGGGCTATTTATTGAGAAAACAACATTGAAGTTATTATTTTTGAATTTCTTGTAAAATTTCCTTTACTTGAGTTTTACTTTTATAATTCTAAGTTAAGAGAAAAAAAAGTTATGGGACATAGATAAGCTATTTCTATTAAATTTAACTCTTCGACTCAACTTAATAGGCCCGGGGGCACGGGTTAACCTTTATGGATCAGTCCCAAATTTTGCATATCTTATTTTTTTGACTATTAAAAAAAAATTATGGGGTAGCGTAAAAAAAAAAAGACATTCGATTTTTGAGGGCCACTAAAAAATTTTACGATGATAGTTCAATTATAGCGCCATCCTGAAACAGTCTACTCTATCTTACTTTTTTTTAATATAATATAATGAAATTCAGTATTAGAGAAGAGGTTTAAGCATCTAATAAAATCAATATTTTATCAATTTAATTTTGATGACGTTAAAATAACTCTTAATTTCTTTAATCTAGACAAATTAAAGCTATTTCAATATGCTTTAAGACCAAATAAGAAAAAATATACGAAAACACATTTCACTTATATGATTTATATAGTAAAACTTCGATTAACTGTCACCATCGAGACCATGACAGTGACGGTTAACCTAATACAAAAAATATATTTAATAAAATAAAAATCAGCCCATGCACTAGATAATTTGAAAATAGCATATTTTATGTTATAGTTTTTATAAAAAATTTTTACATCTAAAACTTACTCAGATAATAATAAATTTTCGATGAAATATTTTCTGTATTGACACTTCATATTTTCAATTATTGGTTCATTGAATATATTAGGGGAGTTGTTTTTGCTGGTAAAAATAGATATGTTCTTTTGCCAATCATCACTTTTCAATTTATTAAAGTTGGTTATTGGGACATTATGCTAGTAATAGTAATGCTTCCTGTGATAACTGATTTTCAGTAAGATGAACTTTCACTTGTGCCACAAAACTTTATGAAACCAATCCGAAAAAATGGTTTCTGCTTTTATCAATTTTATACACAACATTCAGTGTATATTATATAAAACAAACTAATAATAAAGATCCGCACACCCCAAATACTCATTAAGTGATTATTTTATAAAAAAAGGATTAAATTCTTTTAGTTTTGTCATTGGAAAATCCATTGTATTATTTTTTAATTTTATTAAAATATTTTATATAATGACAAAGTTTAGAAATTTTTTTTTATACCCTATCCCTGTAGAAAGTATACTTACTTTCTGGCAGTTGTTAGAGGCGATTAATGAGGTTGCATCAGTTCGACAGCCAAAGTAAAATTTTTGTCAAAAAGTATGAGTAGTCCCAAACAAAACTTAGGCGAATTGTTCCATCTCGGAAATAATCCTTGACTTTTAATGAGCGCCCATACATATGCTATAGGTGCAAGAGTTTAGCGTATTCAGAAAAAGAGATAATATCCGAATAGAGTGAGAAGAGAATGTGGCCATTGTCACCAGGCTAACAGCCGGTCTAACCCGCATTAGATGTTTCATATAAAAAAAATTGTTTTGCCCCCGCACCTATTTCCCCCATGAACACTTAATTAGCATTCTCACCTTAACGTTGGTATGCTAAAATAAGCACTTTTTTAAGAATCGAATATGCTATAGGTATTCGAGTTAAGCGCAATAAGACAGAGGGGAACACCGAGCCAAGTCGAAAGAAACCCAACTACACAAATATACGGTCTGACTCACCACAAAAAATATTTCACATCAAAATTATAATTTGTGAAATTACTTTATTAATATATTATTTTATAGCATATACACATTGAAGCATTCCATCACAGTCATTATAATCACTGTTAGATTTCAATTTATACTATTCTCAAATATGCTTAGTTTCTATTACAGTGGATTCTGACTGATTTAACTTATTATTTTCATTTATAATATAATATTAAGTTTTTAATTTACACATTCATGACAAAAATGGTATGTATTTCAGGTGACAATATTTTAACTGCTGTTAGTGTGGCGAAAGAATGTGGTATAGTTCCACCATCAAAAACAATTGTAGATGTAACAGCCGATGAAAGAGACGAACAAAATCCTAAAATTTATTACACAGCTAGTGGTATTACTTTACCTTTGGTATGTTATAATGGTCAAAAGTTAAAGTAAATATACAGAGTGATCGGTTTATCATAAACTACTAGATTACTCTCAAAATAAATACAATATTGAAAAAAAATTTTGCTTTTAGATTCGATACGAAGCTGAAAAGGTATTAATTTTTCAATGATGTGTGTTTTTTTTTGTATCTGTTACCACTTTTTCTCAGCTCTCACTGAACCGATTTTTTTCAACAATTCATCAAAAGATCACATATCGTATCTAGTCGAAGACATTACCCTTAAAAATTGAAAAAATTTCCTTCGTTCCCTGTAAATAGGGGAAATCACCAAAAAAATTACAAATTTAAAAATCGCTAATTTTCGAAAAATTTTCAATTTTTTTTATTTAAAATTGACATAACTTTTTTAAATATAACCAAATCAATATAATTAATTTTTTTATAGATGCATGATGTCTTTACCTATCATTTGATATATTTTTTTTGTAAATCTGATCCTTTACCTACCCACAGTGGGGGATTTAAAATGACAACTTTATCACAAAAAATTAACTTTTGAAAGCGTTCCGAAACGTCTGACACTTTTATATATATCTTAAATTAAAGCTAATGTAATGTACTGTATTATGGAAAAAAGAAATTTTGGACTTTATTTTGTCTTCATGGTGAAAATGACTACCAAATGCTATTTTTGTGAGAAAATTCTCGATTTTATTTTTTACATTTTTAACTTTATAATGCTATAACTTATTGAAAAGTGTATTGATACAAATATTTTATGAGAAATAATATTTATATTATCATTTGACATACTTTTTCTTAATCAGGATATTACATTACATTAGCTTTAATTTAAGATATATATAAAAGTGTCAGACGTTTCGGAACACGTTCAAAAGTTAAGTTGAAAAAGTTAATTTTTTGTGAAAAAGTTGTCATTTTAAATCCTCCATTGTGGGAAGGTAAAGAATCAGATTTATAAAAAAAATATACCATATGATAAGTAAAGACATCAAGCATCTATAAAAAAAAATGTTATTGATTTGTTCATTTTTAAGATAGTTATGACAGTTTTAAGTAAAAATAATTAAAAAATTAAAAAATTTTTGAAAATTAGCGATTTTAAAATTTGTAATTTTTTGTAGGTTTCCCCATTTACGGGGAACGAGAAAATTTTTTCAATTTTTAAGGGTAATGTCTTCGACTAGATACGATTTTTGATCTTTTGATGTATTGTTGATAAAAATCGGTTCGGTGAGAGCTGAGAAAAAGTGGTAATAGATACAAAAAAAACACACATCCTAGTAAAATTAATACCTTCTCTGCTTCGCATCGAATCTAAAAGCAAAATTTTTTTTCAATATTTTATTTATTTTGAGTGTAATCTAGTGATTTATGATAAATTGACCTGTTTACATGTAATTGACTAAATTGTTATTTTTATAAAGAGATCCAGTTTAATTTTAAATAAATTAAATGGGTGTGATATTGAGTCAGAAGGTCGTATTATTGGGGATTATAGTTTTGCTTTGACTGGTCGAACTTGGGCAATAATTAGAGATAAATTTCCGGATCTTCTGCCAAAGATACTTGTAAAAGGAGCGATTTTTGCTAGAATGACATCAGAACATAAGCAACAATTGGTAAAAGAGTTACAAAATATTGGTTATCATGTTGGTATGTAACATAATTATTCATGTATAATAAATATTTTGAACCAAAATATCATTTTAGCTATGTGTGGCGATGGAGCAAATGACTGTGGAGCATTAAGAGCTGCTCATGTAGGTGTTTCCTTATCTGAAGCAGAATCTTCGGTTGCTTCTCCTTTCACATCACATAAGGCAGATATTTCATGTATGCCATTAATAATTCGCCAAGGTAGAGCAGCATTAGTAACTTCATTTGGTGTCTTTAAATTTATGGTGCTCTATAGTTTATTAGAATTTACTTCAACGTTTATTTTATACAACATAGACAGTAATTTAACTGATTTTGAATTTTTGTTCATTGATGTTGGTTTAGTGGTGAACTTCATGTTTTTCTTTGGCAGAAACCAAGCATTTAAAGGATCATTATTCAGAAAACCTCCATTAACAAGGTTACTTTCATTTGTACCTTTATTCTCAATGGTTGCAAATCTCTTTGTGTTGGTTTTGACCCAAATTTTATCATTTTATTTAATACAACAGTTTTTATGGTTTAAACCATTTCACTTCACGCAGCCTTTAGAGTATAAGTGCTATGAAAATTATGCAGTTTACTCCATTTCTCAGTTTCAGTATATAATTTTGGCTTTTATATTTTCGTACGGAAAACCTTATCGAGTGCCAATTTACAAAAACAAAGTTTTCTTTTTTTCTTTATTAACAATGACCCTTGTTTGTACTTTTATAACAGTTTTTCCTACCAATTGGGTCAAAAATATACTGCAATTAGAATATCCTCCTAAGATTGATTTCCCTATATTAATTATTGCTTTAGCAATAGTTGATTGCATAGTATGTTTAATCATAGAATACTTTATTGTTGACTATTTATTGACAAAAAAATTTAAAATGACATCATATGAATCAAATAGTGAATATAAATACCAATTAGTTAAACACGAGCTTGATTCTTCTCCTGGATGGCCACCAATTTGTAAACATCAACCAATGATTATATCTTCATCATTAGAGTGTATGCGAAAATCTGAAATTAATACTGCACAATTAGAACGTCAAGAAAGACTTACGACAAACATAACCAAATTATAGTTTTTTTTAAATAAATACAATTATTTTATTAATGTATCAAAACAATATTTAATTTAACTGTCGTTAAATTTAAATAAACATAATCTTTATTAATGAATTTCTTGTAATTTAAGTATAATATTTAAATCTAGCATTCATATTATTAAATGGTAGAGTATACTTAAAACTATTTATTTGTTTATCTTTCAAAAACAAATTTTCATATAGTTGTTGTAAACCACCATATCCTATACAAAAATTGGCAAATTTATTTTGAAGTTTTATGTAATAGAGTAGGGGCGTAGTGTGGTGTAGCAAACACTTCAATTACTACCAAGCACTGATACGGATGTGGACTGATAAGCCAGGGGAACTAGGGTACATTAATTGTGGTGGTCTAGCTTGTTTTAAAAAAATTTTTCATCCTTTTATGGCAAGAAAAAAAAGACAAATTTTATAAATCGGATTACGTAAATAATAAATGCCTTAATTTCTCTATAGACAGTGGCCCAAGTGGTAATTGACCCCTTGCCCCCGTGATCTGTCCGCTCTTGCTCTGAAATCCAGCTTCGCTTACCGATGATAGTTACTCCAATGGGTTATCGAAAGTCAATTTAATTTGTGGCAAATATTATATTCCATAAGATAATAGAAAAGCGGGAAACTACCACACATAGGAATTCTCAAGATTCATCAGTCCTATCTTCAATTGGATGTCGTAAACCAACTTAATGTTAAAAAAAGAAAGTAGTTAGGTAATAAACACTAATAAACATAAAATTGGTGTACATTGGCTTAACTTGGAGACAGGGAGCTTTGTCACATAATTAACGAATAAACTCCCACAAGCTTAGGTATTTATGTTTATTGTTATATAAAATGGAGCGTGGTGTGGCGCGGTGGTCACGCTAGATTAGACAAAACTCTTGTGTTAAGTCGCGCCTATCGCCGTAGGTGAACGGATGGATGACTATGCGTGCGCTTTTACGGTGGCAAAAAAGCACCATGTTCCCAGTACAGAAGAGAACGGGAAACCATTGCACTTAATTTCCCAGGATATAAAAAAACTATGACAAGGCCTTAGCCTTTAGAAAAAAGAAGAAGAAAAAAGTTATATATAAATATCTTTTAGGGGAAGAAAGATAAAAATAACCTCTTCGAAAATTTTATTTTAGATGGGCCAAGGGCGGTATACAGTACCTTGCTATGTTATTTGACCCAAACAAAAATAATGATATGAAGCGTATCTTAAAAGTTTTAATCCTTATAATTGCAATAATATACTGTTTTTTATGATATTTTTATCTGAAATCAAAGCAATTGTTAACGAGTAAAACAAATAATTTGGCAGAACAGTTCAAATTACCGTTAAGATGATATTTGACAATAGGTTACGCCTGTGGTCATTACGCATCTGCATAACGTCAGCAGACAAAAGTTGTGGAAAACTTGCATAAATTGCAGGTCTGTTATACAGATTACAAATAAATATAAAAACAAGGTTTAAAGATCAGTAATCATGTATACTACCAACAGTGATGTGTTGATAAGTGGTTTAAATATTCAGAAAAAGCTTTACAGAAACTTATCGAGAATAAAAGTATGAGTGATAGTAAGGTATATCAAACGAACTCTTGCAATATTAGTTAATTGAAGTTCATGTGAAATATAATTAAAATTGACCACTCACAATTAAATATTAATTTAAAACTAAAATATATAAACTATTTAATTCATATAGCCACAAAAACTACTACAAAATTCAACTTTTTTAAGAAAAAAATTATTACTATCACTAAAAATGTACAAGTTATTAAAATCCAGTATTTAAAACCCAAACTTAAATTTGTGTTGACCTCTTAAGTTATCATTATGAATGAAATCTTTGATACGTGTTTTTATAACATTTTTTTACAAAAAGATCGGAACATAAAAGATACAGAAAGAAAGAAGTTTTAATGATTATGGCTTATACATATACATAGCCACTCACGCTACATACCCACAATATGTATTAAAATGTATTTAACTCAATAATTAGTCGTCCTATTAGGTAAGAAACCATTTTTGTAAGAAAAATGATAAAAATTGGCTATTTTTAACTTTTGTAAAAACTTAAATCTATAAATAATTTTTTTAATTATTATTATTAAAAACAAATAATATTAAATATGATTTTTAAGTAATCTAAAAATGTTTAAACTATATTAAAAAAATTACAACTAATTGTTAATTGTATAAAAAACTATAGGAATGGTCATTCTGTATTTTATATTTGTATAAAATCATTTCAAATACACGAATTCGATGGAAGCATAAATAACTTCTATTGAGAAATTAACACAGATAAAGACGTATTTAGGGATGGACATAAGGAGGTGTGAGTGTTCCGGGTGTTGAATTAGGTATGATTACTTAATGATTGTATTAATATAAAGCTTTTAAATTAAATATATTCTGAAATAAAATTGTAATATTCTATTTTAAGTACGGTGTTTGCTTTTTGTACAACACTATTCCAATTCAGTATTTTAAATCTCCCGCATTTTACTAGGAGATAAAATAATCAGTGTGACCACGCCTGTAGAAATTTCAAGAGAAAACACATGTTTAAGCGACCATTTCAATTAACACAGCTGACGATTAAAGGTGAACCCTGATCACTATACTGAACGTATCGCAGTCTAGGCGTAGGTCGTCCATTTTGTCCGGCTGTTCACTTACTGAATTCTGCTTGCTATTCAGTTGTAAATTTTTAGTTCTGATTACCTAATAGAAACATCATGTTGAACCTACTATCAAGGGCAACCCTTAGCGCCCTGAAAGCTGGCAAAAGTAATTTAACACCAAAAGTTGTTCAAAATGAATTGCCCAAAGCTATGGTTGCCACCACGTCAACTTGTAAGTATAGTGATTTTCATTACCCGGCAAATGGCTATGTTGCCGTAGCCATTCTGTAGATGACCTAATAATTGGTTTATAATTCTACAAAAAGATTAATATGTTAATTAAATGTTTCAAAAGTATAATTTTCGGAAATATTAACCATTTTCAAATAGTTAAATTTTGATTTGGTTAATTTATTATACACCTAGCTCAACGTGGGTCTCTTGCTCAATAATTTTAGAATTATAAGAAATATTAAACTTATTTTTTGAATTTAAAATCTTTCAACTTAAACTCTGATGTCAAATTATAGTAGTAAAGAGTAAATTAAAAAAAAAAATGTAATTCACGTGACCTTAGTGACCTTCATAATTTTTATGGTGGTAATCTAATTGAGGTCTTAATACATTGAATGTTTCAAAATTTGGTTAAGTTTGAATTATACAAAATTCAATATTAATTATTGTACACTTTTTTTTTTTTTTTTTAAGAAATCTTGTGGTATAATATGATTATTTTATTTATTTTTGTACATTTATTTATTTATGTTAATAATGTATACTCCACAAAAAAATAAGTTAATTGTCTTTTAAAAACATACAATTAAGAACATTTTAGTTATTTATATTTTTGTATTCATGCTACTATTATTTAATTTTTTTTTTTTTATGAAGTCATTTAGTTAGTTTAATGCTGAGTACTTGAGTGTATATTAACCATATCAAATTAATTACCACTGGATATGAAAATTATAAATTGTTAAGCAAGGTTTCATTGAAATTATTTTGAATGGTGTTTAGTAAGTAAGGTTTCTAATGTTTCCATTTTTGGTAACAATTTACCTTACTTTTTAACAACCTTTTCCCTTACTTTTTAAATACTGTGTATGTGTTTTCCATGTTGATATTTTTTCAGCTAACAATAAAGCTGCTGCAAAACCAAAAGCTGGTACATCTCAAGGACGCATTGTTGCTGTTATTGGTGCTGTAGTTGATGTACAATTCGATGAAGAACTCCCACCAATTCTTAATGCCCTCGAGGTTCAAAATCGGTCTCCCCGTCTTGTTCTTGAAGTGGCCCAGCATTTGGGTAAGTATTTTTTGAATAAAATATAAATATTTTTTATGTTTTCTTAATTATATTTCACTACTTTTTAAAATACTTAGGTGAAAACACTGTCAGAACTATTGCTATGGATGGTACTGAAGGTCTTGTTAGAGGACAAGAAGTTCTTGACTCTGGATCTCCTATTAGAATTCCTGTAGGTGCTGAAACTTTAGGCCGCATCATAAATGTTATTGGTAATTACCTGAAATATATTACTGTTAGTTTATTAGTTTTTTTTTAATTGTTCAGAATAAATAATTTTATCACTCATTAATATTATTTATATTCAATTTTCTAATACTGTTATTTACTATTTAGTGTAAATTTAACTTTATCTCTGAATATATATGTATATGTGTGTATAATTGATGTTGTACAGGTGAACCAATTGATGAAAGAGGTCCAATTCCTACTGATAAAACTGCCCCTATCCATGCTGAAGCACCTGAATTTGTTGAAATGAGTGTTGAACAAGAAATCTTGGTTACTGGTATCAAAGTAGTAGATTTGTTAGCTCCATACGCTAAAGGAGGAAAAATTGGTTAGTATTAAATGTTTTAAATTTATCAATAATTAACTACCTAACTAATATTTTTTACCTATTTAAGAAATATATCAGGACTTCCCTGTAGATTGGGATAACAATACTTTCATGGCCTCCCTAACACTCTTAAGTGGCAATTAATGAGGTTATGTTAAGTTGACAGCTAGTGTAAAATTTTGTCAAAAAGTATGAGGAACCCTGAACATAATTTAAGCTTAGGATAAATACAAGGAGAGGTATCATGGTGCATGTTGTTCGCTGACGATATAGTGTTAATAGGAGAATATAGGAAGGAAATTAAACAATGAGTGTAATGGAGCTGAGAATATTTAGATGAATGAGTGGAGTGATTAGAGGACATTGGATAAGGAACAAACATATAAAAGATAGTATAAGTATAGCGTCAATCATGGATAAAATGAGAAAATAGATTTTAATGGTTTGGTCATGTTATGAGGAAAGAGGAATCAGAAGCTGTAAGAATAGTTTTGGAAATTAATGTTGAAGAAGGAAGAGGTAGAAAAGGACCAAAAAAAAAAGATTACAGGTTTTTATTGAATGCAATATGAGGATGGCTAATGTGAGAGATTGTGTCAAGTAGTAGTTTAGGGTGAGGGTAACAAATATTTAAGGACTTATATTGCTTATTCAGAAGTAATTTATTCATTTATGCACTAGTACTAGGTTTTGACCCTGTAATCTCACTAATTATAAAATTCTCTTCAAAATATCATTACATTCTTTATAATTTAATCAATAATACCATTTACCATTAAACTGAAGCTAATATTCATGAATTTTTGTTGTTTTTAGGTCTTTTTGGAGGAGCAGGAGTAGGAAAAACTGTATTAATTATGGAACTTATTAACAATGTTGCTAAGGCTCATGGTGGTTATTCAGTATTTGCTGGTGTAGGAGAAAGAACTCGAGAAGGAAATGATTTGTATCATGAAATGATTGAATCTGGTGTAATTTCATTAAAAGATAAGACTTCCAAGGTATTTTTCATTGTTGCATTCCTTTAATATTATGTACTTATATAAGAGTTAATTTATAGGTAGCTTTGGTATACGGACAAATGAACGAACCACCTGGCGCTCGTGCCCGTGTAGCATTGACTGGATTAACTGTTGCCGAGTATTTCAGAGATCAGGAAGGTCAAGATGTCTTGCTTTTCATTGACAATATTTTCCGTTTCACCCAAGCTGGTTCTGAAGTGTCAGCTTTGTTAGGACGTATTCCATCAGCTGTAGGTTACCAACCTACATTGGCCACTGATATGGGTACTATGCAAGAAAGAATTACTACTACCCGTAAAGGATCTATTACATCAGTACAGGTATTATAATTGTATTGTTGTTTATTTATTATAATATTATTATAGTTATCAAATATTTATTAACTTTAAAAAATCCTAGGCCATTTATGTACCTGCAGATGATTTAACTGATCCTGCTCCTGCTACTACATTCGCCCATTTGGATGCAACTACTGTGTTGTCTCGTGCCATTGCTGAATTAGGTATTTACCCTGCTGTCGATCCCTTAGATTCAACATCTCGTATTATGGATCCTAACATCATTGGAGAAGAACATTACAATGTTGCTCGTGGAGTACAAAAAATCTTGCAAGATTACAAATCTCTTCAAGATATTATTGCTATCTTGGGTATGGATGAACTTTCTGAAGAAGACAAATTGACTGTTGCAAGAGCTAGGAAAATTCAGAGGTTCTTGTCTCAACCTTTCCAAGTTGCTGAAGTGTTTACTGGACATCCTGGTAAATTGGTACCACTTGAAGAAACAATCAAAGTAAGCTTCTTGTTACTTTAAGAGTTAAAATTTGTTTATAATTTACAATAATGATAAAACTCNTATAATTATTAATTATTAATTATAATTATTAATGTTTTTAGTTATAAAATGTTTTTAATTTAATAGTAAATGGCATTTGAATTTTTAATATAACTTGGTTTATATTTATACTAAATATAAATATAACAAGTTATTACAAATACAGGTATCTATTGATAGTCATAATTGATAATAAACAATCCGTGACTGTGACAGCGATGTCATAAAAACCATTTAGCTACCTGTATTTGTGTATTATACATGTAAATTAACTCAAAAATTTGAAACTTTAAATATTTATATCTAATAAACGAATAAAGTTATTTTGAAAATTCAAATGCCATTTACTATTAAATTAAAAACTCAAACATTTTATTAAATTAAAAATATGTACTTCTATTTAAAAAAACAAAGTTGACCCCCTTACAAGGCTAAGGGATGAACTTAAAAAGTATGACATAGTTAATAATTCAAGAATAATGTGTAACTAAAGATAACCAAAAAAAAAAATGTTATATTTATTCTGTAAGTAATTGAGTGGAGGGTTATGATAAAAAAATTACTCTTTATAACTTAACCTTAAATTATATTTTTTAATTTTGTTTGTAACACTATTTTTAGGGTTTTACAAAAATCTTGGCTGGTGAATATGATCATTTACCTGAAGTTGCCTTCTATATGGTTGGACCAATTGAAGAAGTAGTTGCCAAGGCTGAAACATTAGCTAAAAATACATAAGTTTTGTGAAGACTAATAAATCCATTCAAAAATAAGTTTTCCTCATAAAAATTTTTGTATTCTTGAAAATTTTAAGTAAACATTATTCGTGTTTCAGCGAATGATATAAGTAGAGCTATGTAAATAAATTTGTTAACCAACAAATAAATACAAAAACAACAACAAAAAAAAACTGAAAAATTAAAAATGTCTTAGTGGAACTTTATTTACTACTTGTAATTATGTTAACTTGCAATTATTATGTTATTTTTAATGCTGCTCGTTTCCGCCACATAGTCCATGTTTCTATAATAATTATAATTCAACCTGTGTTTTTAATGAAATATTATTTTAGTTAATCTTTACCTGATGTAAAAAATTATTTAATAATATATTATGTTCCTGTTAAGGATTCAACCACTACTACTATAATTTTTTATTTTATAACTTTATTTTGAGGTTTATACAATTTTCTAAAATTCTAATTTAAAGATTAATTAGTTTTTTTTTAACATACGTGATGTGATTGATTTCAAAGTGTCAATTGTTAACAATTTGTCTCACTAATGTTATTTGTATTTATCAAAAGAAAGTCTTAAATGTTTTAATACCTTTTTAATTCATTTAATAGAAGAAGTTTGATGTACAGTTCATTAATATTAAAAAAATACGTATAAATGTAAAGAGTAATTTACATAAAATGCGTTCTTTAGTTAAGAACACTAATATATTGTTGTTCAGGAAGCTCATAAAGTTTAAAAAGTATTTAAATCTTTGGATGAATTACTAAAAATTTTAACTAATATTTTACTATTATTTATAAAATCAAATGCATATTAAATGAAATAAAACCAAATCAAAAATTTAATTTTAAATAATATAATTAGTGATCCAATCTACGAATTGGACATCAATATTAAAACTAAGAACCAGTTTGTATTTATGCCTAATAAGTTAACAATGGAGCTATTATTTTTTGTGAGGTAACTTAAAGAAAAGTTTAGGGAAAAGAAGAAAAAGCTGTATATGGTATTTATAGATTTGGAGAAAGTGTATGACAGAATACCGAGGGAGGATTTAAAGTGGTCATTAATGAGAAAAAGAGTCCCGAAAAGGTACATCAATATAATAGAGGATATGTATGATGGCACTTGTACTAGGGTAAAAATTGTGGGAGGAAAACAGAGGGTTTTCGATTAAGAGTAGGCGTGCTGGTTCTGGTTCTGATTTAAGCCCTTGCTTATTTTCTATAGTGATGGATGAAATTACTAGAGAAATACAAGGAGAGGTGTGGTGGTGCTTGTTGTTTGTTGACAATATAGTGTTAATAGGAGAAAATAGAGAGGAAATTATTAAAAGGCTAGACGTGAGGAGATCGGCTCTTGAAGAAAAGGGTTTAAGAATAAGTAGGAGTATATAGAATACGAGTTTGACAAAGGAGAACACGAGGTAGGTGAAATGAAACCAATTACAATAGGCGAAGACATGATAGAATAGGTGGAAAGTTTTAAGCATTTAGGATCAGTTGTGTAAAAGATCGGTGATATTGAAGAGGATGTAAGACACAGAATTAAGTGCGGGTGGTTGAAGTGGAGAGAAGCGTCTGGTGTCTCATGCGTTAAAAGAATTCCAATGAGGTTGAAAGGTAAATTCTACAAGACTGTAATAAGGCCAGCTATAATGTATGGTCCAGAGTGTTGGGCGGTTGATAAGAAAGTAGAGCAGAGATGAGAATGCTTAGATGGATGAGTGGAGTGACTAGAAAAGATAGGATAAGGAACGAACATATAAGAGGAAGTATAGATGTAGCGTCAATCGTGCATAAGATAAGAGAAAATAGACTTAGATATTTTGGTCATGTTATGAGGAGAGAGGAATCAGAAGCTATAAAAACTGTTATAAAAATGAATGTTGAAGGAAGAAGAGGTAGAGGAAGACCAAAAAAGAGATGGAGGGATGTTATTGAATGCGATATGAGGGAGGACAGCTGATATGATCGTAGATGATGTGGGAGATTGTGTGAAGCGGAAGTTTAAGATAAAGGTGGCCGACTCCAAGTAGTTGGGAAAAAAAAGAAGTATTTATTCATGTATTTTACTTATTAATCATAAAACTTGTAATCAGGATATAAATAAGAAAATTGGAGATCATGTTGATTTTGGAATAATCCACCAAATTTTAAAAATTAAACACTATATACAGATTTGTATTGAAGCATTTTTTGATATTGATTTTAATCACTGACAGATTAAATCTATACTGGACCCAACTATGCCATGTCCTGACTGTGTTGGGTNCCAAATTTTAAAAATTAAACACTATATACAGATTTGTATTGAAGCATTTTTTGATATTGATTTTAATCACTGACAGATTAAATTTATACTGGACCCAACTATGCCATGTCCTGACTGTGTTGGGTTTTTTTTTTAACTTTATGCAGTGTATGATATCAATTTATTAATTCAGTTGGTTTTATGATTTATTATGTTGTGTTAATTGTACCTAATAAAGTACAATTTATTCCATTAATACGTATGTGTTGTATCTTCTTAATATTCTGAGGGCAGTTCTAAAGAATAAAAATTACTTGTAATACTTATCAGTCTTACTCTACAAATTATGTAATGTAAAAATATCATTGTCTTGTAGTGGTTTAGAACTCTTGACTTATCCCAAAACCACAACTATTTGCAAATAATTTAAACTTCCTAGCCCAGCGGTTCTCAACCTGTGGTACGCAGAATGCTCATAGGTAGTACGCGAAGAAAATCTACCTTTAAAAAAAATTGGAATGAATTATTATTAACATTAAATATTATTTGGTTTATTTGATGATGTGGAGGTCGTTTGCAATCGTAGCAATTAAGATAACGATATTCTCTTTAATATTATACAAATCAATAAACTTTATCGGATAAGCCCGATAAAGCGTATTCCTATTTCACAATAATGCGTCTTTATCCTAGTTTCGTGAGTTCCTTCAGTTTATTCACGAGTGTCATACGAGTTGTTTGCATCAAGTATATTTTATATTAAAATTTATATTTTTATGAAGTTTTTCCGTACTTTTTTTGTGATTTAAAATTAAGTAAAATGAAAAAATTTTTAGAGAGCGGAAGCTCAAATACTAAAAAACAGAAAACACAGACGAATCGCAAATATGACGATAGTTACTTACAATTTGGATTCGTTGTAAAATTTGGTTTTGAAAATTCTACTCCGTTACCTCAATGTGTAATTTGTCAAGAAACACTTTCGAATTAAAGCATGAAGCCATCGCTACTTAAACGCCACCAATTATCGAAGCATCCAGAAACAGAAAATAAACCTACTAAATTTTTCAGAGAAAAGTTACCATTTTCCGGAAGGAATCGAAATGCATGTCTAGTTTTACGAACTTTAATGAAGATATCGTTAAAGCATCTTATTTAGCGAGTTTAATTATTGCTAAAGATGGAAAACCACACACAATTGGGGAAACACTAGTGTTACCAGCAGCAAAAGAAATTGTGCGATTCTTGGAAAAAAGGCTGCAAAAGAGATAGAAAAAGTGTCACTTTCAAACGAAGAATTGACGACATGTGGTTGAATATAAAAAATAAATTATTGCTTTATTTGAAAAATTGTAATTTCTTTGCTCTACAAATTGATGAGAGTACTGATATTGCTAACATGGCCCAATTAATGGTATTTATACGTTTCGATCGCAATGATGAAATTATTGAAGAGTTTTTGTTTTGTAAGCCTTTACAAACCCACGAAACATCTGAAATTATTTTTACAACCATTAATGAATATTTGTTTGAAATAGATCTGCCATGGGGTAAATGTGTGGGTTTTTGTTCTGATGGAGCAAGGGCAATTACTGGAAGGCTGACCGGAGTTGCAACAAGGATAAAAAAAGTTGTCTCATTATGTAAAACTATGCATTGCATGACTCACCGGCAAGCATTAGCATCCAATAACATGTCTAGAAGTTTAAAATTAGTTCTTGATAGTGCTGTAAAAATCGTAAATCTAATCAAAGCCAGACCTCTCAATTCAAGACTATTCACAGTATTATGTAACGAAATGAACATTACTCATAAATCTCTTCTTCTCCATACAGAGGTAAGGTCAGAAGTTTTATTACTTCTGACTGATATTGATAAAGAAAAGTCCAAATTTTTTTGTGATAACGAATAGCTGTCAAGTCTAACTTACATGGCAGACATATTTGACCGTTTAAATATTTTAAATTTAAGTCTGCAAGGATCAAACACAAACATGTTTTATGCTAGTGATAAAGTTAATGCATTTGTGAAAAAGTTGAATTTATTTATTTCACAAGTATCTAAGAATGATCTTTCAGCATTCAAGACACTAAACACATTTTGGAAAAATAACGAAATTCAGTCAAATTCAAATATAATTACAAACATTTCGGAACACCTATAATTACTAAAATCCATTATTTTACAATATTTTCCTGAGGATTATTCAGAAATTAAATGGATCATAAACCCTTTCGAAGATGATTATATTAAGAACATTCCAGATAGTAATTTGGCAAAAGAATTATTTATTGACTTAACCAGTGACTCTACTCTAAAAACCGCTTTCAAAACCAAAAATATCATTAATATTTGGCTGGACGTTAAACAAGAATACACGGCATTGTCCACACAAGCTTAACAGTTTCTAATCCCTTTTATATCAACATATCTGTGCGAAAATACATTTTCTCACTTATTGTACACAAAAAATAAAAAACCCAGCACAGTGGAGACGCGGCATAGTGGGGACGTTGCATAGTTGGGTCCAGTATAGATTTAATCTGACAGTGATTAAAATCACTATCATAAGAAACGCTTCGATGCAAATCAGTAGATAGTGTTTAATTCTAAGAAATTGGTGGATAATTACAAAAGCTACATTATCTGCTAGTTTCTTATTAATACCCTGATTAAGATAAAGTATGTCGAATGAAAAAGGGATTATTAAAAAATATTATTTCTCATAAAAAAATTGTGTTGATTC